AATGGACCAATATAGGTCTAAGTGCATGGGGAAACCCACCCTCTCCAATAACTAGCTAACTAACTAACTAACTACTTGTTATATAGTTTCTTCCGTGGCCAGTAGAACGTGGCTTCTGGTTCTCGAAAAATTATATCTCCAAGTAGAATATTATGTAGCCAAATCCGGGGGTGTAATTTAGAGTGATATCAAATTTTGTGAAGCCACGAAGAAATATTTCCTGAGATTCTCTTTAAGCAATCAATTTAAATTTATATGTTGATGCTCAAATTCGAAAGTAACAATCACTCTGGTTCAGTTGTCATACGGCAAGGACTGTACAATTTTTCTCCGTTCATAACCACGTCCTATTCCATTGCCCTCACTTTAGGTCTGTGCATCTTTTCTCAAGTTACACTTTTATAACGAAGCCTCTCAACTATCTGACATTTGTGTCCGCTGAAGAGAAGGATTTATTGTTGGATACTAACAAATTCGCAGATATTGGATACATGACTCAGTATGATGGTGTGCATAATGTTACTAACCTCCACATTATTAGTCAGAAGTGGCACACACACATCTGCACCATACAGTACACTGACAAGACAGATTGCGCTTACACTGGACGATGTTCCATTGTCTTGTTTCAGCTGCCTGAATCGTGCGGATGTGATCAAAGTGTTTGATGGCCGGAGTTCAGCAGCACCTGCTATAACAGTGCTGTGCAACGAGGGGTCGGAACTTGAAGTCCTGTCCACCGGACCAGACCTTTACATAGAATTTGTGGCGAGCTCCGAGTGGCCCGGACAAGGCTTTAAAGCCAGTTTTCAGTTCCAACCAATGGACTCCATCACCAGTGACAGTCCGTCTACAGGTCAGTGAAACCGAGGTCATACAATTGTGAATTTCTTGATGACAGGAGCAGTTTGGACCATGCATAAATATAAACTTGTGCTAGCCTTCTGAATCTGCGTTCGCTTTCCTTAAAAGCCACTAGTCGCTGACGTACTGCTCTCTAAGATCCCGAAATACTAATCTTGCATTGGCATATTTAATTACTATAAAGACTGTCTCCTTTTCAATATTCCTTCTGACATTGTACTGCAATGAGTCCGAGGAAATAAGCTTCATTGTCGCTGAGAGTAATAATGCTTAAATCTTCCTACATTTTCTGCCTACAAATGCAGTACCCCTCATGCCCTCTGGCCCATATCAAGCAGCCCGAGCGTTTTCGTTAGTGAAGGTTGTCATGTAGTCATCGCTAAAATTCATCTACTCTTCGAACCAGGGTGTCATACCTTGTGTTAGGAACCTCTTCAAATAAAATTCCTGTTTATATTTAATTTTCCCACTAGCCTATGTATACCGGAAGTATAATGAAAATATATAGTAACTCTCTTAACGAAGGCCTTGTCATAGTTTCGGTGGTTAGCCGCCGACTTCCCATCTTGCCGGCCCGGGTTCGAGTTCAGGTGAAGGCATGTGGGATTTGTGGTGGAAAAAGTGACACTGGGGCAGGTTTCCTCCGAGTACTTCGGTTTCTCCTGTCCGTTCGCATTCACCGATTGCTCCACAGTCATCATCATCATCATCATCATCATCATCATCATCATCTATCGTCTGGGGCTGGTACAGTAGGCCAAAGCAGTAGTGGCAATCCCAAGTGGATTCAGTCTCAACCCATGAGAAAAATAAAATAAACTTCTTAAGGATGTCTTAAAGGTTTACTTTACTAATATATATATATATATATATGACGCATCCTCCTTCCCATAGTACATGAAGTACACCAACATCCGCGTAAACAGAATGATTGGGCAGTCTGAGGGGAACAACGGAAATCCTGCTGGAGAAGGAAGCGTACGATGGAGGAAGGTGTGACTGGCGGGTCCAAGGTATTCCTTTCTTTGGCTTCAATATAGTGGCAGATTTTCGTGAAATGTCGCATTAATATTACACAGTTGGAGACAGCTTTTCACCAAGTTATCGTAATTCCCTATCATTTCATTATCAACATGACCGCAGTGCGTAATTTTGAGATAAAATGGAAATATCACCATTTAATGTAAGAACTTGCTATTTTGTTTGTTGCCAGATCTTCGAAAAAAATCGTTAATTTGGTTTATATTATATTGTTTTATAATATAAATATTGCAATATTGTCGAATATTTGCACTGTGTTTGACAATATAACCGAGGAAGAAATTTGTCGCGAACTTTGGAACAAATTCTTAAGAAATGTTTATTTTTATGTTGAAAATAACAAATGAATAGCAATTTCAACCACTGGTGTTATATCTAACAAAATGTAGGTAGTATATGACTAGAGTAAAAGTCTACACTAAGAGAGATCATTCAATCAAACGAATGTAATTATATGATTTATCCAATTCTTCTTATCACCGTCACTTGCTACATAACACAAAGCATTCAGAAGACGGACAGGTTATTGTATTATTTATGCACCTTTTCTTTAAAATTCTTTAATTCTCCAGAAGTGATAGGATTAAAATTCACACAGGGACCTTACCCACCCATCGGAACTGTGCGAACTGATACAATTAAAAGGTTTTTATTGCCTAACTCCAGCAGCCGTATAAATAACGCGATGGTATTTGCTGGTACGTACAAAACAACCACAAAAGTTTTCCTGTTCTGTTGCGCCTACACACTGTAAATGCGTCACATACGCCTACACAAACATGAATTCTATCCAACCAGACTGAGGCACTAAGCGCCCATATGATAACTATTGTGCATCGCTTAGCACTCGGCTTTACATTTTAAAAACAACTATAAATTATTTTGAACTTGACGTTTCCTGCTGTTCAGTTGTTTCATTAATCTCTTTCCCGTCAGCTTCCTATAATATCCGGAAATATAATTTAGTCCATAAATGTATAATGTTGATGGGCGGAGCATGTGGAAGTGAGAAATTAGAAGAAGAATGTAGGGGAAAAATCTAAAGAGACGACACAACTTCAAATACATAGGCAAAAATAGAAAGAATCTTAAGGAATCATATGGAAATAAGGTGTGATAATGTGGATTGGATCCATCTGGTTCAGGATAGGGTCCAGTGATGAGATCTTTTAAAGAAAGTGAGATTCTTGACTAGTTTAGAAACTTCTGGGTTCTAAAGTAGAATTCTACTCCAGGGACTAAATCCTCTAAGAGGAGAACACAGATTCGTGCTGATTCAGGATAAGGTCCAGTGGCGGGTTCCATTAAAGAAGGGGAAGTACTTGACTAGTTTAGCAACTACTAGCTTCAGAAGCACGGTTTACTCCAAGGATTTAAAGTCTCCGAGAGAGGAACAGACGTAGATGTTTGAGAATATTAAGACCTAGGGAAGGAAGGCGAAGTAGGCCGAGCTTCTCCCCATATTGTTGAGGGATTAGTTTGATGAGGATGCGAAGCTCAGGGCATGCAGCACCGAATGATTAGTAGGCCATGTGTGTAGTAAGTTTGATTTGAGAACGTAAAAGCCGGATGCAATCATGGGTGGCACAATAATACAGGGTTATTCATAAGTCCGTCAAACATTTTAAAAATTCACAACAAATAAACTGTGCATTGTATCATGGTAATTCTTACGCCGATAGCGAATGAGTAACCCTGTATAGAAGTGATTCTTAGAAAAATTAATTTGTAAGAAGAGAACTGGAACACAATTGTGGTGCGATGACTCTGAGTTTCAGGGATGCTCACCATTGTGTAATTTTCTGTATCCTGCTGGTACTTCTTCCCTCTAGGGACCAGATATTCTCCAGAGAATCCCATACGTTGACACCTTTATATTCTCCGTATCATCGGATATTACGCTGCCAGCAATGCAGTTGCGTAAGAATTGTTCACTGTGTTTAGGTAATGTTACATTCGGTTTCTGCTATAATTTTCTATTACAAATGATAATCTTATGCCAGGACGTTATTTCACAAAAATTCTGTTATAAAAAGTCTTTCTTGAAAATTTTATATATTACATTGTGAAAATTTTACAATATTTCCCCTTCTTATAGGACATAGGATGTGATACAACCGTTTTTTTCTTTTTTTCTTTTTTTTTACATTTCTGCTACACAATTTTAATGTAAAATATTATAGCTCTAATGAGAATATTATCTGTAATAACGATAATAGGAACTAAATCTTGCGACATTAGCTCGTGAGACTCCGTATATGGTTTTATTAGACAGAAATGCGCATGTCAATACCATTAAAGTGATTAACGTATACAAAGGTGCTTGGTTAATAGACACTATTATCGCTTGAAGCTACACGGTACGAGAAGGCACAGGACTATAAAGGCAGACCATAAGGCGGAACTGGGGATGAATTGTTCTCTATGTTGTGTAATTTTCAGCAATCGGCGATCGTATTACTCCAAAATTGAATCACGTGACGAATTAGATAGTAAGTGAGACGGGGTTTGGAGAGAGATGTTTGGAAAAAATTGTTACAGGGTTAGGTGTTAACAAAGAAAAACGAAGATACGATAAGAACTGAGAGAAGAAGGAGAGTAAATGGTAAAGAAGAGATCCAGATTAAAGTGAAACGAGAAAGAAAGATGTAGAGAGAGGGTTTGGAATGAGTATGAGTAGGAATGGGAAAAGTTACTTGGAAAGTGAGGTAAAAAAAAGGTAAATTTGTCCCTGTGCTTAACTGGGGAGTAGATGTATAGATCATTTTCTTGACCTCGACACTAGTTAGAGGTGAATGGCTAGCTTCACGCCCTGACCGCTTTACACCCGGTGAAAGAGCCCTCGGTACCCATTGGCTAGGTTGCTTGGTGGGCTCCAGAGCCGGTCTGGATTCCGCGTAGAAGAAAAGATTCTCGGCCGGACCAGGACTCGAACTCTGACGCCTTGGTCGTCCAACCCATAGCCAGTCACTATACCGACTACGCTATCCAGGCTCTTACGTGGAAAGTGAGAGGAAGAGAAAGTATGATGAAGGAACGTCAGAATAGGAGGTGAAGGAAAATAGGGAATGGAAAATTGCAGACGGTGTGGAGAGAGTGAAGGTTTAAAGAGAAGTGTACAAGTAAAATGAGGGGAGACGAAGATTGAAGGCAAAATGATGAGACCAAGCGGGTAGATGAGGACCGGAGGAGTGATGAGTGTAAGAGCCGGGGCAGCTCAGTCGGCACAACGACTAGGCTGCAGGTTGGAATAGAGGTTCTTTTCCCGACAGAAGTAAGAGATTTTTTCTTCTGCAGTGCACTGAGACCGGTTCTGGGACCCACCCAGTCTCCTGTCCATGGGACACTAGAGATTCTTTGCCCGAAAGTAAATCTGCTAGTGTATCCAGCTGACCGTTCTCGTTAATCTAGTGATAGATAAAGAATACATGGAGCTCTACCTTAATTTCACCGTACGTCTTCAAGGCGTGGTGTTCGGTTGACTCGGATAAATTAACCCCGTCACAACTTAGGAGTAATGATCGTGCAAATGCACAAAAGATCATTGAAGGTTGCGGTGCAAGGACCGCAGTTAGGCTAAGCTTTATGTAATTTTAATGTAATGGGTGTCCAAGGAAGATAAGGTTATGAGACATAGAAGGGGGGGGGTTGCGGTGAAGCTTCTAATCAGGAAAGTAGCAGAACATATGATTGTGGCGGGATTCGAATGAAAGAGAGATAAACTGAGGGGAAAAGGTATGTTACACATCAAGAACTATAATTATGCAGGCTAAATACTCGTATATAGTAAAAGATTGTCCTTTGCGGAGTAACATAAAACCACACATGCGAGATGTGGTTAAACATGTGTTAAGCAGTGCCTTCTGTAACTGTTTGGTTTAAGCATATGAAATTAAGTTAAATAGTAACCGTAAAATAAAAATTCCAGTCCAAAAGTATATTTAAGAAGTA